AAATCTTATGCCACAGAAACCTCCTTTGCATTTTTGGTAAATTTCCATTTACTAGCAAGAGGCGCATATATCAGATAAGGCAGAAAATGCAAAAGGATGGAAGTGCAAATTATCATTATAAGCTCTCACTTATTCTCTCCAAGTACTAGCTGACCCTAGCCTTCAGTCTTTGAAATGATCTAGGAAGAGAAGATTAGCAATATCTTGAATCTTCCTGTTTTCACCTTTGCATTTAGTACATCTTAGAGAGGGAATAACAAGCACTTACGAAGAAACCTGAGCTTCAGTGTGCCTTTTTTGCCTTTGAAGGAGTATTTTTAAAAATGTACCTTCCTTTGATTTGATGATATACAGTTGTTATAATGTCCTGTGGAAGCTCTCTTTCTGAAACTGCTAGAAGCCATGGCCACGTAAATTATGGTCGATGCTCATTTGCCATGATTCTGTGGCCATTAAATTTGCCAGAGACTCTTCAACCCTGTAATGTCTGAGCACCTCAACTGTTAATAAACGTAACCTGACAATATCCCCGTGAGGTGAAGAAGCACTATTATCACCATTTTACACCGGGGGAATTGAAGCACAAAGATACATCATGCCTTGCCCCCGTTCACACAGGAATCTTTAGCAAATCTTGCAAACTGCAAAATATGAGCTAAAATTAGTTTCTGGTACTATGCCTGCCCAGGAGCCAAATGCCGGTTTTTGTGGTTTTATAGCCACATCATTTTAGTTTTAAAAATATTTTTTCCTCAAGTGTTGTGTGTGAGACCAACACAAACTAGAGGGGAAGCTGAGAAATTACCTATGCACCAAGGGCTTTCAAATAGAAAGTAAACAAACAAAAAGATATTTTCCCAGTTCTCTCTTTTAGTCTGCTGTGCCAAAGCATTACAGAATGTAAGTGCAGCTCAACACAAAAGCCGTACGCTGAGAGCCTGATCTGACAATATAACATTTCTTACTTGATGTTGCCATTACTGGTTATCTATTCTAGATGAAGCTTTTGGGGGTGCAGCTGTGTGAAGTAGCAGAGAACTTTCCTGGCCTAAGCACAACCTAACACTGTATTGCCATCCATGAAACTGATAGTAAAACATACAGTAAGCTAAACCCTTCCTTCATTTTATACACAGCAGAGAGTCTGACACTTTGAAAGGACAGAGTTGTAAAGAAAATACATATAAGATACTAGCAGCATACAGAAGATCCTTGTGGTGAAGTGACAAAAATCTACTTGTTTACACTACCGCGCAGGATCGATCTAAGTTATGCAACTTCAACTATGTGAATAGCGTAGCTGAAGTCGACGTACTTAGATCTACTTACCGCGACATCTTCACTGCGGTAAGTCGACAGCTGACGCTCTCCTGTCGACTCCGCTTGCACTTCTCGTTCTGGTGGAGTACCGGAGTTGACGGGAGAGCGCTCAGCGGTCAATTTATCTCATCTATACTAGACGCGATAAATCAACCCCCGCTGGATCGATCGCTGCCCGCCGATCCGGTGGGTAGTGTTGACAAGCCCTTAGAGTCCTGACTGAAGCGTTAGTTTAGAAGAAGGAAAATCCAGCATTCACACTTGGCTCTAAATGGAGGATGAGCCTGTTCAGGCTAGCAGTCAAAGATCAGGCTAACATTACTTATAAAATTTCTTAGTGTCACGTTACCTTTTTCACATATCAGCTTAACTAAAATCAGACTTTTCTCTGCACAGCTTTGATAGCTGTGTACAGCAGTTCTCACCAGAGCAGTTGGAGGGCTCCACTCTGGAGACCAAATCCTGCTAACCTGCAGACCACTCAAGCTAAACTACCACTGAAACAAATGTGTTTTGACTGAGACATACATTAATACACAGCTGTTAATTTTACAGGATTTCTTCCTATTTCTTTTCCTATAAGGCTTCAAGCTATTATAGTCGTTTGCATCTAGATATACAGTCGAAAGTGGACTAATCTGTCATTAAATACACTTTAGACAATTTCTATTAGACTTTGGTCTATAATTTGAATCATAAATTTCAATTAGATTTCTTGTGACTTATGAACTGCTTGGGTCATTCAGTCTCAACTATAGTGAAATGTGTTGCTGTTTCCAAAGACCTTTTGTAAATGACAGTACCTTATCCAACTCTTTGGGTTTATCCCAGTGGGGACAAACAAAGAGCATGTAAAGCATGAAAGTAATACAAACGGGAAAAATCTTGTTCTCTTCTTAAATGACATGTGGAAGTGAAGTAGTTATTGCACATGAATGGCCAAGTAACGCACACTGCTTCTGTAGCGTCACTTCAGCATGTATTGGGGTTTGGAAATAGTGTATGTACAAACCCTGTTATCACAGAACATTACGGCCAACTGTTGTTTCTAGCTTGATTGCAAAGAAAGGACTGAGTGAAATGTTTATTTTTGGCTTATTTATGTTAGTCCATAAAATGTGCCTTGTTCTTCTTACTGTTTACTTTCAGTCTCTAGGTCAAACTCATCCCTTTTAGAGAGCTGCTGAGCCCCAAGTATGCTCACATGCTCATTTGTCAGCTGCCTGTGAGCAGAACGCCGTCTCTCCCCCCCCAAGTAGCGCTAATTCTGCTGTCTACCTTCTTGTCATCATTTTAACATGCACAATCTCAAGCTGTCCCCTCCAGAAAACGTCTTTTGAGATATACAAGTGTCTTTACTAAATGTATAGCACTGCTGTATGACAGAACTGTAGAACTGTTTATCTGTGACAGGTTATAAAATCCCTCAGAGAATGGCAAAGAAAAGGATGGCATGAACGACAGAGTGCGATTTATCACAATACCATGACATAGTTTGCATTTTACATTTCCTTCTATTCGAGGATCAAGGCACTTTACAAACACACCAGTCCATGAGATACTTAGTAAAGAGGGAGCGCTGTCCAGTAATTTAGCTACTTGACAATGCTTCCTCTTTACTAATTAAAACATAAGAAATGTTTTACATGACATCTACATATTTAATGGTTGACAAAACAAATTTTCTATTTGTATCTCCTATAAACTAAAGTATTCTGGATACACATCCAAAGTTCTGGTGAAATGTTTTTAAGACCACTCCAAAGAGATGGGGATTGGTTGAGGCGGGGGATTGATGCTAAGATGCACTATGGCGGCCTTTGTTTCTGCATCCCTAGGACACGTTTCTGTCCTTTCTGTACACTTGCTCCCTTCTATCTGAAGAACTGCCTCAAGTTGGTCGTGACGGATAGTTGGCCTTTGTGAAAAGACCTACCTGACTGTGTCTAAACAGCTCCTTGTGGACTGCTGTCTGTGTCACAAAAATTGGCCATTCTGCAGCTGGCATCAAGAACTGAATGCACTTGAAAAGGGTACTTCGCAACTCAGAATTTTATTGAGGCACATTGGTGGGGAAACGTCCCCATGCTGAACCTGTTTTGAAGACAAATGAAGGATTTTAGTTTTTAGGACTGATTATTTGGTATCTTACATCAGCAATAAATCCCTTACAAATAATATTTTTTTAAAATCTCCCCGTCGGTGACTGTTGTGTATTTCATACTCTTACCACCCTGAGCAAATGCTGAGCCATCAGATAAACAGAGGCAAGGAACAGCAATGTAAGGGTACACAATTTTCATTTAGAAAAAAAAAACCCTGTCTCTTCCCTCCCCCCCATTACATCCTTGTTATCATCGAAGCATCATTTTCAGTACTTAGCATCAGATTCATGCTCTCAGAGAAGGACAGCTGTACTTATTTTCTAATTTCTCCACTCTGACTGGTCTGCTTGTGTCTATCAACTACTTATAAATCATTCTCACTTGCTGCATATGTGACTTCACCCACAAAGCTTATCCAATCCATACTTCTACAGTTGATAAAAAAGAAACAGAGCATTCCACCTCTATTCTTAGATACTTCAGATTCACAGAGTAGAAGATTCTTTCTTGAAGAAACAGAGGTTTAAAGGGTACTACTAAGAGGGGGGTAAATTATAATTATTTTGTATTTCCTTATTTCCTATTTTGTGAGCAGTCACATTTTCCCCCCTGCATTTCCATCTTTTTTGCACTTTCTAAGTAATGGTTACTGTGATAAAGCAAAGACTGTCATTGAAGTTCTGCTGGGCTACTAACCTTCCAAAGAAATGGCTAGTTTAGGATTTGTCCCTGAGACAAATGGAAAAAATTCACCAACTTTTGGTGAGTATTTACTAATTAGGTCTAGGAAATCTGGGAAATTTTCAAAGCTAAATATAGGGCGGGGTAGAGTTTTTAAAATTCAGCCTTCTCTCTGCTCCAGCCTGTCTTGAGGCCCTGCCTCCAGCTGTGTGCGCGGTGCTTTGGATTTTCTGAAAGTAGAGACTTTGGTAAGATTTTCAGAGGCCATGGTATCTAATTGCTGCCATGCCTGTTTATTGCTAGAGATACTCAGGTACCACAGGGGTGGGCACAGAGTCAAACCCTAAGTAGATTAGATTCTCTACATTGTTTTGGGTCCCCAGCATGCAGCAAAAAGCCACTATGAATTTGTCTGACAGGTCAAAAGAGAAGGAACCTATGGACCCCCCAGGACCCACACAAGATATCACAAAAGGCAAGATGCTCATGTATATGCCTACTTGTATTAACTGTAGGAGAAATGTGTCAGAAAAGGAATGTGTATCAGAGAAAGGGCCACTGCAGCATTTGTGATGCCTTTCTTACTTTTTAAAAAAGCATTGCCACATCAGAAAATCTTTGCTAGCTGACCCTCAGAACACTGGTCAGAGGACACACCAGTCACCCCAGCATCGCAAGTTACGCTCTGTGATCTGCTAATAGGAAACGGGGATGAGGCAGGGAAGGGAATGCTGTACAGTTTGTGAAATGGACAGATACTGAGGGTATGCTTCCCTTATGGTAGGCTCACAGAGACAAAAGGAAAATAACAAAGGACGAAAGCTATAGAGAACCATCCTTTTGCATTTCAATGCCCACAAGAAACAACTTGTTTTTCCTTAAAGATAGTTGATTTGTATATTAGTTACTCATCTTCCTTTGTTCTGACTCATCCAGTCTTATGGTTGTTTGGCCACAATTTCATAACTTACAGGATACTGTGAAGAGCTTCTGGGATAATGACTTTAAATGTTTGAAAGCAGCGTCTAGGTTTAGTAATTGTGTGTGTAGACCAGGATTTCACAGATAGCAGATGGGAGCTGCAGTGTTTGATTAATGAAAGGGTTAGTTAATTGGAGTATTTTGAGGTATGTAGGCTGGTTAGATGTTTCATTGTTGCGGTTTGACTAGCTCCCATATATCTAGCCTGGGCACTTCCCAGCAGACCAAGCCTGGTCAGTCCCCAAAAGAACACAGCGTATGGGGGACATATGATGGTTGGGAATAGAGACTTCATTCTGATCAAAAAGAACAGGAGTACTTGTGGCGCCTTAGAGATTAACAAATTTATTAGAGCATAAGCTTTCATGGGCTACTGCCCACTTCTTCGGATGCATATGCATATGAAGAAGTGGGCAGTAGCCCACGAAAGCTTATGCTCTAATAAATTTGTTAATCTCTAAGGTGCCACAAGTACTCCTGTTCTTTTTGCGGATACAGACTAACACGGCTGCTACTCTGAAACCTGTCATTCTGATCAAACTTAACCATAGCTCTACACTTGGGTCACTCTATTGGCTTCAGTCGAGTTATTCCTGATTTACACTGGTGAATAAATACCAACCCCCACGTTTTTAATTTCAGGCCTTTAATGAAAATGAAAAGTTGCCACGTTTCTGTCCTTTCTGTACACTTGCTCCCTTCTATCTGAAGAACGTGTCACTGTGGCCTTCTCACACTCATGTTCTCAGATTATGCTCCACCCCCTCTCAATTTTCTGTGCACCACCATTATAGGGGCTGCTGGTGCTTAGGGGATAAAGCCGCCTTTGCTCTTCTTCCTTTCTGAGCTGTGCTGAACTCATTTCAGCCAGAAGTGAGAACTGGTCCTATGTTTTCAATGCCTTCTTTGTGTTTGAAAAAATATGTGTACGCATGAACAGTCATGATATCTGCACATGTAATATACAAGTGAGGGGGAAAGCGGGATTCAAGTACCTTTTTGAAGCAAGACAATATTTATGTGGCAGGCACAACTACCTGCTTGTGCGCGCAATTTAAGCACCTGGTATTTAAAACATCACCAATCTTTTCTGCTATTAATTTCCTTTGCTGGAAAACTGGAGGCAGCAGGAGTAAAGAGGATTAGTCATTTCCGAGAGGAAGGGAGGGTGGGAAAAAAAATAAGAGGTTGTGAATTTTATCGCTGACATGGTTTTTATTAATCTGGGAATTTAACACTCCTCCCATGCTGTTTTAGCAGTGAATTGGTTTATTTTTTATAATTCTCTAGCTATACTGATACGATCTGCAGTAAACTATGTCTATTTCTAGTGCTAGAGAAAGCATTGCTTAGTATAGATTCCAAACAAAGAACACACTATATCATCAACTTCACTGCTTGGAATGTGAAAAAAATTCTTAAACTCTAATAAAACTTTGTTGATCTAAACAGATTAACATCACTCAGTAGCTATCTGTGCAGAGTTATAAACTTTAGATGAAATGTCCCCATTCATCTCCAGCATATCCCCCATTTACACTGGGCATTCCATTCAATTACATGGAAAGATCATGCATTATGCCTTTCTTGTGTAATTTTACAGGGTATCTGTATGTTCCAAACACTTGGTGAACAATGGGGAACTTGTCTGATACATCATGGGGTTTGCAGACAGCAAAGGGGGGCAGAGGCCTACAAGCATCAGGAGCAATCAGCATGAATGCACAAAGAACATAGATTCATGAAGATTAAATGTAAACACTTTGTTGCTGCCCAGAAAGATCAAGATGATCAGAATGGCATTTCCATGTAAAGTAGCTAAAATGTATTCACAACAGCCCAACACTTGGAGAAATTATTTCATACCTCTCATCTTGTTGCAGGCTTTGCAATGTATATAGTATATAGGACAAAAGCTGTCCTTCAAAACTAGGCAAATCTTATGTCACCTCACAACATGTAATGAAATACTTATTACTGTCTAGGTTATATTCTCCGCAGGACAAGACCTGCCTTGATATTTGTGTTTTGTAAAGCACCAATTACATGGAGGGCCTTTAAATAATACACAGAATCTCTTCAATTTTATGTATACAGTATCCATATATATTTTTATATTTGGTTGCAAATTTAATCTGGAGGGAAGCCAAAGCTCTTTACAAACTTAAATGGATACACCAAGTACAGTATATGACTTTATCCACTACTGGCACATGTGGGATGGAACACTGCAAACCTTTCATAGTGAATAGATCAGGAAGTGAAGAATACTGCCCAACATGGAAATTGCAAGTGGAGGTTATAGTGTGCATAGTGCACCTTTCCAGAAGGCTGATGCATGCAGCTCTGCCAGTGCAAGTTTGCACAATAACCAGGGCCGGCTCTAGGATTTTTGCCGCTCCAAGCAAAACATTTTTTGGCCGCCCCCCCTTTTTTTTCGTGCCCCCCCGCCCTCAGCCCCGCCCCAACTCCGCCCCTTCCTGAACCCTTCCCCAAATCCCCGGCCCCGCCTCCTCCCCCGGGGGTGCTGCATTTCTCCCCCCCCCATTGTTTCCTGCCCCCCCCCCCCGCGACTTCCCGCCTTAGCTCACCTCTGCTCCACCTGCTCCCCCAGGCACACCGCCGCTCCGCTCCCCCCCTCCCTCTCAGGTGAGGGACGGGAGAGAAGCGGAGCAGCGGCGTGTTCAGGGGAGCAGGTGGAGCGGAGGTGAGCTGGGGGAGGGGGGACGCAGGAAGTAATTTGGGGGGGGGGTAGAGGAACCGCTACCCGCTCCAGCTCACCTCTGCTCCACCACCACCGCCTCTCCCGAGTGCCCCACCTCTCGGCTTCTCCTCCCTCCCAGCCTTGCTGTGCGAAACAGCTGTTTTGCGCCCGGCAAGCCTGGGAGGGAGGGGAGAGAAGTGGAGCGGCCGCGACACGCTCAGGGAAGCAGGCGGAAGCGAGCTGGAGCGGCGGGGGCACTTTTTTCCATGCCACAGAGTCAGTGCCTATGATGGCCGGCGCCAGAATGCCGCCCCTAGAAATGTGCCACCCCAAGCACCTGCTTGTTTTGCTGGTGCCTAGAGCCGGCCCTGACAATACCTGCCTCCATTATGCATGATATGAGCCATTGCTGATTAGCTCTTTCTCTTCATGAGCTGCAAATTCTCTCTCAAGTTTGCTTTTAAAATCTCAACATTTAAAACCAAACAACAAGAAATCAATCTTCCAGTGGGTAAATACCTATTTCAGGCAGGGTTACAGCGAACAATTCGTTATCAGTTGTCTAACATTCTCTCTAATGTGTGAGTAAAAAAATAGCTAGAGT